CCTGATAAGCCCATAAGACGGCATATTGACCAAAATTCCTTTTTAGTTAATGTTATGCATGCGACCAATTCTACCGTGCGACTAATTGTCGTAGAGCCCAGTTGTCGCTTCGACCAGTTGTCTGCGACCAATTGTCGTTCGGCCAAGTGTCGTTCGACCAATTGTCGCTTTCCCGTTAAAAGATGGACTACATCCAAAATTGTTTAGTTGTCATGTAATATATGATAGTTTTTCTAGTTGTTTATGACCAGCAGAGGCACGTTCGGATGACTTGTTGGTGAATTCATCTTTCCCTCTCACTTCACTACTTCCAATAACAAAAACTTTTTTAAAAATATTTTCACATAATATAAGTTACAAAGCCTCCCAAAATACATCGACGAGTTGAAATCTATGGTCTTAAGGAAAAAACTGGGAATATTTCAATTCTGGAAAGTTTCACAGATAGCTCTATTTCTGATCAAGAAATTTCTATTCCACGATACTTATTGTATAGGAATGATTTTAATAATTAAATCACAAGTGACTTATATAAGTCAAGAAATCCAACATTCTCTTGTTGCTACATCTAACTAAACTATGGCTATGTTGCATGAAATAGAATGTTCTTTTTTGTAATGTTTATCGTCGTCTATCGTCTCAAAAAATCTACAATGATAATCTGTTCAAGTTTTTTCTTGAAAATATAAAGAAAGATGTTCTAATTTTATCAGGTGATTTCAATATAAATACGGCAAATCCTCCGAACGGTTTTAAACAAATACTTCAAACATTTTCTTTGACAAGTGCTTTTAAATGTTGCACCACTCATAAAAATACAAAAATCGATAATATATTTTATACGAAAGAACGGGATGAACCAAGTACAAAAACTCACCCTGAAATAGGTAAATCACTACATTTTTTGCTAGAAGCACAATTTAATTTTCAAATAGAGTGTGAATGAAAGGATTTCGATTAGATTATGAAAATTGCGATATAAATTCACTGCATAGAATGGTTTCTGGAATAGACAACAAATTTTATCTTTCTAACGATGTAAATGAAAAAACGGAAATACTTTTGGACCATTTTTCTACTTCTATAGAAGCTTGTGTACCGTTGAAAAAAGTACGTTTGAAAAACAGACCTAGTTTTAAGCCGTCTAAAACAACAAGAAAATTAGTTCGAGACAAAAACAAAAAATTTCACAAAATGAAACGTCAACAAACGCTTTTGCTAACGATCGAATATAAAAGAATGTGAAATAAGGTTCTAAACTCAATACGCAGAGATAAATTTCGTTATTTTTATAAAATCAAAGCACAATTTTCAGATTCGAAACTTTTTTGGAAAAGTTTAAGTAAATATCGTAAAGGTTTTCTTGATTATCCTAGTAAATTAGTGAACGGAAACGTTAATGTGTGTACGGATAATGGTAAAGCAGAAATGTTTTCTAAATTTTTTGCTAGTTGCTTCTTCTGCTGTTACTAACACTGTTACTACTAACCAACAAAACTCTTCACAAAACAACTTAACTTCTATTTCTTTTACAATTGCGGATGTTACTACGTAATATGATCAAACAACTAAAAAATAAGCAGTCAGTAGGAATAGATGGAATTCACGTACAATTCTTAAAGTTATGTATTGATGTTGTGTCACCACTGTTGCATCATCTCTTTCAATTTTCAGTTCAGCAGGGAATTTTTCCCGAAATACGGAAAAAAGCATTAATTATAGCCATCCACAAAAAAGGATCGCGTACTCCATGCTCTAATTATTGTCCAATATCTTTGTTGTCAAATTTAAGAAAAGTTTTTGAAATGCTGATACATAGACCACTATTAAATTATTTGAATAAAACGTGTTTTTTCTCGCATGTACAGTATGGTTTTTGACCTCATTCTTCGACCGTAGATGCTCTGCTGCATGTTACTATTGAATAAGCAAAACTTTTAGAAAGTAAGAAATTAGCAGTTGGTATCGCTTTTGATTTTACTAAGGCTTTCGACAGAGTAGGCCACAGAATTTTGATGGAAAAACTAGCTAGAGCAGCCGTGGCCGGTGTGTACTTGAATGGTTTAAATCGTATTTAGCTAATCGAGAACAAATTGTAGTCATAAATGATAAAAAATCTAAAGCAGCAAATGTAACTTCTGGAGTACCCCAGGGAAGCATCCTGGGGCCACTTTTGTTTTTAGAGTTCATAAATGGCTTGAATCAGATGTTTCCGTCTAATATCACTGCTTCGCTCTTTGCAGATTATGTGTTTAGCCTCATACCGCTACAAAACTTTCAAGATTCCACAGAAGTGCAAAAATTCCTTGATATCATGTTAGATTGTTGTACACAAAATGATATTGAATTAAATATAGAAAAATGTTTTATATGCCGTTTTCGAATTCAAAATTACCGGAAAATTATCCACGAATCTATCCTTCAGGAAAACAGCTTTCAATTGATAAAAACATTAAGTTATTGGGCATACATCTTTCACCCGACCTTACGTGGAAACATCATTTGGAACAGACTAGTAAGAGGTGTAGGCAAATGTTAGGTGCGTTAAACAAAACTTTTAAGCATGCACCCGAGTTTATTAGACTTCATATTTACAAAGCACATATCTTACCGGTGATGGACTACTGTTGTGTTGTTTTTGATAACGATTACACATTTACATTTACTAACATCAACACAAAAGCCAGCTGCACAGATAATCCCTAACAACTTTCACTCTAACAGTTCTTTTCTTCTTGAAAAACTGAAGCTGCCCGATTCAGGCAGTAGAAGAAGGAATTTCAAACTAGTATTTGTTTACAAAATGATTATAGGACGAAGTGCTCTATCGTCTTTATCATTTGTAAAACCTTTAACCACTCGAGCTTCTGCTCGAATTTCGAATCGTTGTGTTTGGGAGGTACCAAAGTTCAGAAGAAAGAACACAAGTTCATCATTTCTACCTTAAACAATTTCACAGTGGAATGTGTTGCCTAGAGAGGTAATTGCGGAATTTTATGGTGTGACTTAGTCCAAGTTTTACTAAACTTTTTGTCGTTACCACTGTCATTTAACACCACTCACTTAAAATAAAATTGATTGAATTATAAGCTTATATGAGGAGTGTATGATCAATTTTTTTGCACACTGTATGAGAAAGTTTTTCTTACAATTTTTCCGTAGAACACTAGACCAGTTTTAGATGTGATCTTTCATTCTTCTGCAATAAATATCTACTTACTTTTGATGTTATATTTGACTCCATCAAATGTTTATGAAATCCCACCTTTTGTATTATCTCTTGCAAGAATGGTACCATATTTGCTGGCGGCGGTGCTAAAATGTTAGAAATGTGAACTTTTATTCATTCTCGTAGTGTAATGTTTAAAAATTCGAACTAACCAATATACGTATTCTGCGTATGTTTGAGCTTAACTGTAAGGCGGGCAATTTCAGCTTTTAAATGAGTCCTTTCAGCTGCACAAGATACATTTGTGCACATTGGAATACAACCAATTGTTGAAGCTAAGATAAAAAAGCAATCATAATTCTTAGTAGGGGAAGGTGCTAAATTTGACTCCACCCAAAAAAATGAATAATATCATTAAAAACTAAAAGATACAATGTTACTGGAAAAAGCTGGCTTATTATAAAAATTTGCAAATTTTATATATATATATAATATTGCAAATAAAAGCATAGCATGTAAAAGTTAACAGAAATGTTTGTTACTTATACCAGTGGAAACATTTGCTAACGGATTTGTAACACTTAGCAATGGAGTACCTAGAACATTAAACAAACCGAACTTAAAAGCATGAGTCCTAGACATAAAATGATTTCATATTATTGCCCTTTAATCAAAGTAAAGTGATTAAGCCATCTAACAATTAATCTCTTCGTGACCAAAGCATATCAGTTGTCAGACAGCCCAAGAAACATGCCGTACGAATAGATAAAGAATTAAATAATATTCTTAGGACTTTCTATTTCTAACTTTAAAAAAATATTGAGACATGGCTGCGGTAAAGTAAAGATCTTTCCGTATTTGTTTCAAAGCGAGTTTAGGTGAGCAAAATAAATGTAGTGATGCGTCTGGAAACTGTTAAGAAAATCACTAATAGAACTTTTACCCGATGGAAGCATTTTCACCGATATAGTTGAATTAAATTTCTTGACAAATCGATCTAAATAAACGAAATTAGAGTGGAAATCTATTTAAGAATAGTGCATTATGCAAAATTATTTAGAGAAGTTCTTACTATCGTATAAAACGACAGCTCTTTCAGCTGCTTTATGATCTTCAAACGTAATAGTACAAAATTTTCCCTGAACAAACTCCATTACTGCAGCACCAGTTGTATTATTGTGCTAGAAAGAAAAAAATAAGCTTTTCTAATAAAATTGTGCAATTAGGGATGTCATAGATTCGAACTTTCATCCAGTAAAAATTTCCTTATAACAAAATACGCTAGATTTCAAATTTTAAAGTTGTGTTATAGAGTTGAATCGCATTAAGTTATGAATACAGTATAATAGTAAAATTTATAAAAGTGTTTAAAAATCCTATTAAGACGAATCATTTCGAGAGAAGGAATATGCACTTTTGTTCAGTTTTCAACGCTCTTTCTAATGGTGTACTTGAGAATTGAAAGTTAAAACGAAATTTTTTCATAATTATTAATTAAAATAATTAAAATATTATAAAAATAAAAAGATCAGAACTAGTGATTTTTCAAAAATGCTTCTTACCAAAATGTAGCCCGTTCTATTCCGTATCGAATGGTATATTGAAGAAGTTTCAATTATTTTTTTAACAGCGAATAGTTAATGAAATATTAAAAGTGCCTTAAACTTTTGTCCGCTGAAGTAAAAAGATTTGTGTAATAAAACTCAAATAACTGTACTTAAAAAAATCGATTGTATCTCAGCTTTGCAGTCCGTTCTGAGAGCTATCGAAATCACTATTTGGATGTCGTTATCGAGTGGTCTTTCATAGAGAAAAGTGAAAAACAAAACGTGCCTTAAACTTTTGTCCGTCACTTTATTTGTATGTGAAGTTAAGAATACAAAGTACCTTTATATCGCCTGTATCGACGAAAAAATCATAAAGGTGGTCTTCTGTTACTGTTGATAGAATATTTTCAATTATAATTGTTTTATTATTCTCATTTTCTTTTTCATTATCGTCAGTTTGATCGACCACTAAAATAAACAGGAAAAATAGCAAAATTAGTTGTAAATTATTCATCGAACTAGCATTTCTTGAGGTTGCAGAATAATTAGAAACCCGTACACAGTGCTTGTGTAGTAATTGCCGGCGGTGATGGTTGTGTTCCTTTTGGTAATGTCGCAGAGACCTGTGCTTGGTCTGTTGTTTTATTTGCTTTTGTTGGTGGTACTTTAATGAAAGGAAACATTTTAAAGAAACAACAAGAATATGTCAGTTCTTTACTTGCCAGAAATATTTGATGCTGATTGTGCTACAATTTGTTGCATCGCATCAACCATGAAATCACAATCTTTCTTGCTGCCTATGTAAAATGTATACGTTCAAATAAACGCTTGAAGGTATGAGAAACTCAATGCTTCCAAAGCAGAGAAAAGATTGCGTTTTAATACTTAGTCATCAAGTAACTTTTAAAAGCCAAAGTGAACTGCTCTAAAAGCTCAACTCTGCTATATTTTCGACGTTCAAGTGCCTTCGCGTATTCCTCTCAAGTTTTCAATATGAACATATTTAAACGAGTTTCCGGTGAAAGAATAGCACTCCTCGGGATACAGTGGGATTTAAATAGAACAAAAACATGAGTAACTCAGAATTTCAAAACCTCTATTAACCAATAGTAAATCTTACCTTTTAACATTACTTTTCCTTTTTTTTTATTTTCACGATCATTTCCAATTTGAAAAAAATACTCATTATATAACGATATTGTACCCGTTGTATTTCTCAAATAAGCAGAAGGTATAGTTTCCATTTGCTTGGATTCTGTCCAAGTAACAACAAAATATTGCCCTTCAGTTTGACCTGGGAGAGAAAAGCAAGTATAGATCAATCCACTGAGTAGATCACCGAGTGCTTACATGAAGGGCTTGTAGCGGTTTTGACATTACGACGTACACGTGGACCCATGATAAATACCTTATTCAAAATTAAAAAAACACTTCTGAAAGAGAAGAAAACATGCATTAAGTTTACTAAAACTGAACTGGTAAAAGAATCTAAGTGTTAGAATGACCTTTTCTGACAGTTTGGAATAACAAGAGAGTGCTTATGTGCATCTAAAATTTTCTTCTAAAGTTTCAATTTAACGTAGCGTACCGTTAACTTGAAAACAGGATAATTTTAGTTTAGATCCCTGTTGTATTTAATAAAAACGTCAGACCCTAGAAATGAACGAGAAAGAATATAGTTATAATGGCGCGCCTTCTTTCACTGTTTTCTATGATGCGGAAATTCACCGTTTTGGTTTAATCTTTTTAATACTTCCAAAAACAAAACTTTTTCCAATGCTAAAATGGGCTACCTAAAACTTCATCGACCTGAATTTCGCTGAAACTAACTGCTTTAGTACCAGAAATGTTTGTTTACATTTATACTTGTAAAAACAAGGAAATAAAAATTTCTGATCTTTAAATGCTGCCACATCAAATTCATGACGCTGCTCAAAAGTAGAGAGATCTCATTACAAAAACAACAATTCAGAAATGGATGAAATTACATAAATAAAACAGAACTATTCTGTTTTATTCTGTCTTAAAAGAAAATAAACAAACAATTCCACACTTAAAATCGGCTAGAGAGCAAGCTAATTGCGTCGAACCACGTTGTAGTTCGTTTCTTTTAAAGAACATGAAAGTGGCAGTCAGGCAAAGCTTTGACACAGATTTCCGTTCACAGTACACTTTCAATGGCTTTTTCTACTAAAACCACAGAAAAAATAGCTTGTAGTTATAGTAGTTTCAAACCCACATACTCATCAAATTTATTATCATAGAATATTAGCGGTGGAGACATCACAACGTTCGCTTACAGCTAGCAAATCAAAGTAATAGATAAGACTCCCACAGGACATTAAAATATGTGACTAAAATCGAGCAGCTTTCTGCGGGTTAAAAGCACTGTGTAATTGAGTTAACCTATGATTTCTTTGATGTTTTATGCATATTTTAGAAAATAAATCTAAATGAAATACCCTAAACAGTCTTTGGTGCTCGTTAAATAAAAATCAGTAGAGTTCGAAATATCCTTATGGCCTTTATTGACAGTTGCCAGAAACCAATCGAAATTGAGCCAATAGTGAGGGGAACTAAGTTCAGCAGAACCGTGCTACTGGTTAGTAGTTACAAAGTGGACAACTTCGCGCCCTCGTCAAAGTGTTTACTAAAAGATGTTCACTTTGTAAAAGTTTTCCTTTGTAACATAAAAGTTCATTGGTACTTGTTACTTTTACTGAGAGGGCGCTCCATGTCTGTCTCACTGGTGGTTTTCTCTATTTATATATCTGTTTTTTACGTCAGACTGATCTAAAATGACAGGTATATGATTCTTCAGATAAAGGCAATATTGGAAAGCTTTAGAAAAGACGCGGTCTCTCCAAGACAAACTAATAAACAGATGCAGTTAGCCCTTGCTGCACACCACATTTAACAAATCATTAGTTGTATGCTATTTTCTGCGTAAGTGCGTCTTTTGACGCAATACTTTATTCACTGCTCAGAATGCTGAACTGGACATTGAAGGTTCTGCTATACCAAAACAATGATATAGAGTGAAATACTAAAGATATATTTCGAATAGAAACTGAAATCAGAAGAGTTATTCATTATGTTTACATGAATTTACAGAAGAGATACCGACGAAACTCCCTTAATGTTGCATTATAAAGTTTTCGCAAATACTGTAGCTTTTTGTATGAAAAACAATAAAAAACGGTTTCATTTTCAATAATTTTCAGTTCTCAAAATGTGTGCGTAAGTTTTTCTAACTTCTATTTATTTTATCTGATGATGATTATTTTATAATCGAAAGCTCATAATTATAATAAAATAAAATAAATTAAAATGGATCATTCAGCTGCAACAAAAAGAATTTCATGAATAAAAACTGCTAGAGCTCTTTGTATTGCAAGGTTTTTTCTAACTTTAAGTAGATTTTGCCTTGCTGAACTTTCGTCCATTTCCGTCCAATAATCAATGAATTCTGAGTCTCTTACTATACGTTTTCTTAAAAAGTTAGATTTGTTTCTTCAAGCTATTTAAAAATTTATTCTGAGCGACAAAAAACTTCGTATAAGATACTAAATTACCTAGTGCCTCCACTTTCTTACTACTTTCATGAGTGAATGTGCCCAGGTGAACCACGTCTTGTAAGCTCTTATGTTTTCTTGTGAAATCTTGTAATAAGATCTTACAAGATCTTGTTATAAGATCTTGTAAGTTCTTATGGAATCTTGTAACTTCTTGTCGTAAGATCTTCCACGATCTGATTATAAGAAGTGACAAGATCTCGTAAGATCTTTTGACAAGAATTCATATGATCTTGTAAGATCTTATATAACCTTGTGACAAGAAAATACATAGAAGTCAACAATATGGATCGGTCAAATAGGATGAGTGAATAAATGATCACTTTATCACATAATCACTTTTGCGTTCTGTCACCTTTTCAGACGACGTTATAACGGAGCGTTCTTTCGTTTGCATACTATACTATACGAAAAATGTCTCGTACAAGATTTTGTAAGATCCTACAAGATCATATGCATTCTAGTCATAAGATCTTATAAGATATCATAAGATCGATGACTCATCTCTACCGCATAAATTTTGCGACGATACATAGTATATATATAACCTCGTTCTTTTTGGATCACTTAAAACTTTTTTCTCTTTTCAACTCCACTCGTCATCCCAGCACATATGAAGCGCACGGTTAAGAAACGTGACAAAAGACGGTTCTAGGGCCGCCTAGGACCTGTGAATGTTAGAAATTATGTAGAAAAGAAAATTGCAGACGTACAGAGAGATTCGACAGGAAATGATCAAGCGTATGATCTTGTAAGATCACATGAATTCTTCTACGATCATACAAAACCTTGTGACTTCCCACGTGAAAGACGTCTTACAGGACCTTACAAGATCTTATCACAAGATCCTGCACGATCTTGTTACTTTTTGCACGATCATACAAGATCTTGTTGCAAGAAAATCTCGTGAAATCTTATAAGATTCTTGAACCAAGATTCTTCTAAAATCTTGTGGTATCTTGTAATACGATCTTACAAGTTCACATTTCAAGATCCTTCGCCCTGGTTGGATGAATTCCCAAATTATAGGCCAATAAATTGGGTGGCAAGCTCCCTACTACTCTTTTGAGTGAATGTGGATGAATTGCCAAATTATAGGCCAATGAATTGGGTGGCAAGCTCCCTACTACTCCCTTGAGTGATCGAATATAGATAAATTGCCCAATTCACGATTTAGTTGTTTTATGAAAACTAGATGAATTGGGTTAAAATCAGTTGCATCTAGATGAATCGCCCAATTCACGATGTTTTTACGCTTGTTTTGCTGCCACGTTCATCAAAGTCTAAGAAAAATACTTGCTTTGACATAAGTGATTGCGGTTAAATATTGAATTTTTATGCATGAATTGTAGAGATCAAGTGGAAATATCTTATGTCTATAGTGTGTCACTATGCAGTTCTCAAAGTAGAACTGTGTAAGAATGCACAATATATATTATACTTCAATATCTAATACCAAGGACCTGAGTAGGTGCCGGACATTGGGGGGTGGGGGGGGGGGGTAACGAAAGTTTTTTGTCC